TTACCTTCTAGCACCCTCCCATGATGCTACCTCTGACCAGTTATCCTACAGTACAGGACAAACAATAGCACATCTGCTTGGGAACACAACTTCTAAGATTTTCCAGATCTTTAATTTACTTTTACAGGTGTTGAACTGAACTGGCTAATCTGCTCTTAAGATTTGAAGTTATAGACACCATCACAATAAATTAGAAATCATACCGCCTGTTAGACATGTGCACAGCATTTAAAGAAAAAAAAAAAGGGAAAAACCTTTCCATTTGTTTTGTTTGCTGAAATGAATAATTATACTTTTTCGGGTTCGGAGTGCACCTTAAAAAAACAGAACGCACTGCAGCCATATTGGCTACCAGCCCGTTTTGTGCATGTGCACCGCCATCTTGGAGGTAAGCACATGACGTCACCCGATGCTGGTGTCGGGTGACGTCATAGGAACGTATGCGCGCTGCCATCTTGGACACAAGATGTGGGTGCCTATACAAAACTAGTTAATATATGTCCGAATATAGTTTTATGTATATTCGGGCATATAATAATTCCTTATTTTGGATTCGGACTAACTGCCAAATTAATGGAATTTCTTGATTCAGCAAGCCCGTCTGAATCCAGATGCACTGGTCTACTGCCTTTTGCAAAGGTTTATAAAGAAATTATGAGTTTTAGAAAAACAGAAATCGTCCATTTCTTTTCCAAGCAGAGACTGTATATTGATCCTACCGCTACTACGGTAGAAAATTTGATTTTCTCTCTAGTTCATTGAGGGATACAGGATTCAGATTCAGGCATTTGGGCTATACTTCTGCCTACCAGACACTGTATTTACATCTGGTGGATGGTGGTGATATTTCTTCTCTCTTCTTCTCCTCCCATATGCAAAGCAGGTCACAGAAAGTGGTGGTGAGACATAGTTACCTGTTCTGGCCTGCTGATCCTCCTCTCTCATCCATTCCATGCACCAGGACATAAATGGATGCGAGAGGTTGATCGGCGTGGATCTGCGCAGATGGATACTTAACTTCCCTGTGCCACTCTGCATATGGGGTGGAGGGGCACTTTGGATGGATGGTTAGCATGATGGGGATGCGATTGACCCATCACCTGCCTGCAAACCGACGGGTAGATTGCCAACCCCGCCCTTCTAGGAGGATGGACATCTTTTCTCTGCTGAGAAAGGTTGAACTGTTTTTACCACCCCTTTTGTCCTTTTTTCTTAATTGTTTTAACAGTGTATGCCCTTCATGGGAACTTCTCTTTGGAGCTGCATTAGGCACCTTTATCAAGGATGTCATTGGGGGTATAAGTAATTATCTGCCACATCATTAGAAGCCTAGAATTCAGAAAGGGAAGACTCATCCCCCATCTGAGACCTGGAAGAGATCAATTTTGTTACTCCTAAGCCTTAAAGTGACATTAAACCCTCAGATTTTTTAACATAAAACAATACTGTAATGTGTGCCTTACTGTAATCCATGATTGTTTCCCTTCTCTTTGCTGCTCTTTCTTTTAAATCTGTATCTGTTCTCATGCTGGGCAGAACTTCTGTTTTGCAGCAGACTGCCTCTGAAATGGATACATGGTGTCTGTGTGTAGGTTTGCAACCTGTGCCAGCACTACAGGAAGAAGCACTCAGCTGCAAAGGGAAGTTCTCCCCCAGCATGAGAAGACATGAGGATTTAAAAGGAAGAGCAGCAAAGAGAAGGGAAACTACCATGGATTACAGTAAGGCACACATTACAGTATTGGTTTATGTTAAAAAATCTGAGGGTTTAATGTCACTTTAACCTCAAAAGCCAGGAACCTATTTCAACCACAAACCTGGGGCATCCAAACCTGATTACAAATCCTCTTCAGCATGAGAGCTCATTCACTTTCCAAAGTGGGGGGAAAACGGTTATTATTTGCAGAAATCTGGACAGACAACATCTCAGATGCCTTTGTATAGGAAGTGGTTTCCAGGGACTACAAGCTAGAGTTCCATTCTCTGCTCCCTCATTCGTTCATGTCTTTCAACCTGCCTGTGTCTACACACAGATTAGCAGCGCCGCATCCTGCTTTGGACAGGTAGTTAGGTTACACAGCAGCGGGCTTCCCCACTGCATGTGTAACCTAACTATTGAGGCAAGAGCTGCCACAGCCTCTACTCTTTGTTAGAGGCATTAGCTCTGTAAATGGCTTGGACCAATGGCACAGCGCCATTGGTCCAAGCTGTCCAATAAAAAAAAAAAAAACTACTGAGGCCATCGATCTCGATGTCTTAGCAGGGACGAGCAAGTGAGAGACAGGGAGGCTCCTCCCTGTCTCCTCCCTTCCTCCTCCACAGTAGCTTAGGGACTGGGCTGGGGGCATGGCTTCGGCCGGCTGGGGAGGGGCTTAAGCAGGCAGGGGGCAAGACAGGAGGTGCTGGGGGTGCGGCAGGGGAATGCCTCTCCCGGAACCAACGGTACCGCACCTCACTGTCCAAACCAATACAACTGTTATAGTGCAAGCACCCAAGCACCAAGTTACTTTTATAATTTTCTATCCACACTAAACCCTGCTCACTATTAAATGTATCCACTCCAGAATAGATTTGTTAAAAAGAAAAACAAATGATAGATTTGATTTCTAGTCCACCTTGTACTTGCCTTATATAATTAATGTTTATTCATTGTCCTTTCAGACTTCATTTCATACCTTGATAAAACAAACAATTAAGCAGCAACTTATAATACACTTTAAGGCTGGGTTCACACCTAGGCGTATTGAATATGCGCGTCTGTCGCGCGGTTTTTTAACCGCGATTCACGGTAAAAAAAGTCACGCGACCGTCGCGCGATTCCGAAGGCTACTTGGCTGTATCCCAATGTAAAACGCCCTACAAAACGGCCCAAAGAAGTACATGTACTTGTTTGAGCGTAGGCCGTTTTGTAGGGCGTTTCAGAAGGGCGGAAATACGGAAAGGTGTGAACCAGACCCATAAAAAACAATGGGATTTTCATGTTTGTACGTTTTGTTGAGCGTTCATAGAGCGTTGAACGCGCGACAAAACGTAAAGGTGTGAACGGGGCCTAAGTTAAAAAAAAATACAGTATATGACACACATTTCTTCTTTTAAAGAAGATATATCAATTTGTTATTGAATGTAATATGTTTTATTTTTGTTTCCTCATTACGCATATGGCAACACAACATTAGAGAGGTAAGAAACAATATATACTCTTTGAACTATTCTGCCCTATGTTAGTGGAACTGCACAAATATATGATGCTATTAATTAGAAATGTACTTTGTGTTATGCTGGTCATATACTTAGTGGCCAGATTAATATGACCACCCCATCAGTACTTCGTTGGGCCACGAGATGACTTCGTTGGGCCATGAGATGACTCCACGAGATGTTGAAAGGTGATGCGAGGAATCTGACACTGCACTGTTGTCCTTCTGTTGTATTGTGCCAGTCTTGCCACTCTCCGTTCTGCCCTAACATTGACTAGTGGCTGACGGCCACAATTCGCACGTTCAGACCCAGATTTTCGGCTGACAGTCTAGTCTTTAAACACTTTAACAACAGCTGCTCTTGAACATTTCACGGATTCTGCTGTTTTGCTGATACTCGCTCTATGGCTCCGAGTGCCAACAATCATGCCACGTTCAAAGGCTGTTAAATCGCGTTGTTTACCCATATCTTCAGAAAAGAAATCACTTCTACTGATGTGGTAAACAACCTGCTTCCCTATTTATAATGGTCTGGCCCTCTAGCAACTTCAGCATGAAATTATAGCTAATTATAGCTAATTTGCCTACAAACGTCAGGTGGTCATAATAATCTGGCCACTCAGTGTATATCCCAATAAATAAGGATTAATCATAGATTTGATGGCATTTTCCTCCCCTGAGATGATGTGCATGGTCACTAGTCCTAGTCACATATGCCGGAGTCACATGCAGATCAGAATTTCTGATTTCACTGGCTGCATATTTACTCCATTTTATAGACTCAGACAGTACCAAATGTAAGTGATCAGTCTAAAAACTAGGAAAACCTCATTTTTACAGGGAGCTTAGCAATTGCATATTACAGGCAAAATAAGTTCCCTCTAAAAATGGAGATAAGGTTAAAGGTTGTTCTTTGAACATAGCATTTCTTTAAAATGCACTTTCCTTTTGCCCGGTATTTCCTTATCTAGAAATTCATTAAAGTGCAATCTAGTTTACATAAATGAATGGTGATTTATTAACGTGTTGGTTTTTGTCTCAGAGGAAATCAAAGATTACGGCTTCACGCAAACTCTTGCTAAAGGTAAGCAATACTGTCAGTAAAACATAAAAAACAACACAAAAAAGAAATATAAATTGGTTAGGCACAGAGGCAACACGTGGTTGCATGAGTTGTGTGGTGTTGTAGGCAAGTAACTGCTATCATCATCATAATTGTATGCAAAATAATTACTTAAAGAGAAGTAAAGCCTTTTGTCCCCTCGTAGGTTAAAGGAGTACATTTACTAATGCACTCCTGTGACCTAAAGTCACAGCTATTTGCTGACAGTGCAGAGACGCGCTGCAGCCGGGAAAGATCCCAACAATATTGTCAGAATCTCCACCCCGCTGCCTTGACTGCTGGCTCTGCCTCTCTAGAGCCAGAGTCAGCTGTGCATCCTCCCCATCTGTCCCTTCAATGAACGTTGGAGGAACAAAGTGGGGATGATGGTATCCCTGTTGGGGGGTAGTGACTGAAGGAAAGGACTAGACGCAGGGCTGGATTAAGGGCAATTGATTGGGTTACCATTTCATGAAAGAGGTGTTTGAGGCTTCGGTTGGTCAAAGGAAGAGCGGTGGAGAAGGGGGGCGCCTGACTGATGACTTTAAAAATGTTTTTAGTCCTCAGCGCCCAGGGCTGTTAGCTTTAGGCACACATCGGCAGCATCTGCATCATATGGTGCAGGATTACCTAGGGGCAAGAGCAGATATGGAGAGCTTTCCAGCAGACGATCCACTGGCTTACTGGGTCTTGAGAATGGATCACTGGCCAGAAATTAGCCAATATGCCATGGAGCTACTGGGCTGCCCTGCATCCAGCGTGCTTTCCGAAAGGACGTTCAGTGCTGCTGGAGGTTTTGTGACAGATAAAAGAGTGTGTCTGTCCACAGACTCCGTTTCACGGCTGACATTTATTAAAATGAATCAGTCCTGTATCAGCAGCAGCTATTAATCCCTTGATGCTGATGTAACCGATTAAATTTGTTGGGGATCTGGGATCTCTGGAAGACTGTCTAACTTTGTGGGCGATTATTCTATCTTTAAGTAATATTTTTCATTTAGTGCACCACCAACACCCAATTTTTCTGCACCTGCATGTGACAGGTGCATATCATTAACATTTTTTACAATTCTTTAAATTTTTTTACAGCAAGGCCCTGCACTCACCTGCGCTCACCAAGAGTAGCTGTGAGGGGTTACAATGTTCAGACACCACCAACACCCAAGGCCCAATTTTTTTTGCACCTGTGTGACAGGTGCATATAATTTGAATTTTTTACAGCAGGGCCCATTCCTGCGCTCATTAAGAGTAAATGTAATGGGTTACAGAGTGGAGGCACCAACGCCAAAGGCCCATTTTTTTTCCAAACCTGTGTGACAGGTATATATAATTTGAATTTTTAGAGCAGGGTCCAATCCTGCACTCATCAAGAATAACTCTGGAAGGGTCATGGTGTGAGGCCACCGCCAACATTAAAGGCCCATTTTTAAAACACCTGTTGTTACTTTCCTCCAACGCCTGCAAAAGAGGTACCAGAATTTAAAATGTGGCCTCTTCATACAGGCTGCCTCCCCAAGCAGTAGTTTACAAGATTAAGGGAAAATCAATTACCGGCAATTTAAATGTCATTTTTTTCTTTATAAATGTAATTTTTGCTGCAGCTGGTTCTATATATTGTACAGATGCGCCACTGCACAGGCAGTTTAAGGGGACCTCCCAGGTACGATAGTTAAAGGAATTTTTTTTATTGTTTCCCTTTAAGTGATGTTAAAATCACTGCTCCTTTAAAAACTGTATTTTTTAAAAGTGTTTTTTTCATTGATACTTGTCCCCAGGGCAGTACCCGAATCCCAATACCCTTTTTATGGCCAATAACTTGCATATAATCCTTCAAAAAGGGGACAATTTATTCTCAAAAGTTATGGTCCCATAGACTTTCGTTGAGTTCAAACCTTTTCCATGTTCTAAAGCTGGAACTCGAACCGAACTGAGGTGTGCTTGGCCCATCACTAATTTCATCTTTTTTGCTCTACCTGCACAGAGTTTGATGCTGGCAAAGGCAAAAGAAGCATGGGACCAAGAGCATTTAAACAAGCAAGAGGAAAAGCAGAGTTATCTTAATGAAAGGGTCCCCCATGCTAACACACACGGATTAGCACTGGCTGCCTTACAGGTATTTGTTATTTTGGAATTTGTACTAAATATGATGTCTGAGGTCAAAAACAGTCTTAATTTTCAATAGAGTATCAAAGTCTGGATTCTTCACCAATACCATTTTTGCAGGAGCTGTGTCGGGAACTCCATGAGAAGGTCGGCATTGTTGATGAGGAAAGATATGACATTGAAGCAAAAGTTACTCATAATAAAAGAGAAGTAAGTTTCTGTTACTGCTATTGGATAGTGAGGTTATTGCCCTAAATACGAACATTGCCACTTATTCTGACTCCGATTGTTGTGCTAGTGACTTATCCCTTGCTGAGACCTCTATGCCTGGCCTGTATAACCAGATTCAATCACTGAGGACAATCATTGTCAATACCGTTTCATCCACAAGGGTTGCTTTATTCTGAACATCAGGTTACAGCAGGATAACAGCAGGTAAATGATTGCGGTATTATGCGGTCAAAAGATGATGCTTTCGTAGCGTACTGTGTAGAATACACGTGTTCCTGTTACATGTGGCCTGTTAGCTGTGGCCATGACACAGGAAGTACTGACCAACAAGAAGGGTGGAGCATATACACACATTAAATGTGTCGTAGATATTAGAGAAGGAACATGAAAAACAAGTGCATTACCACTAAGGGTCACTAGATGGCAGCATGTGAACTAAATATAAAACGTCCATAGGAAAATGATTAAGGAAACAAACAATCTATATAAATTCTTATCTACTAACAATGCTAATAACTAGGTATGCACCGATATATCGGCCGAAAATTGCACTTTTGGCATAATGCCGAAAGAGCCATGTTTCGGCCGATACATCAGCGCATCCCTGGTTTCTTTCCTCCCCGCTGGGCGCTGCTCTGTGTTCCAGCGGGGAGAAAAGAAAGTGGCAGCCGGCCGAGCGCTGCAGGACGAGAGCGCTGTGAGCGGCTGTCGTCTCTCCTCCCACACCGCTCAGCCGCCTATCACAGTCTGGCAGAGCGGTGTGTGGGCGGAGACAGCCAGCGCTGTCACAGGAGGCTGAGCTCACCTCCCTGCTCCGCTCGATCAGCCTCCTGTGACAGTGTGTCAGAGAGGAGAGCGAGCACACACACTCAGCGATCGCTGAGTGTTTGTAGATAATTCAGGACATGGTATGTTAACTATATCCTCAATTATGAATGAATGGGAGTGATCTACGTCACCTCATGTTCATTCATAAAATAAACTATTCTATGCCCCATTGGGGCGGCACACCACTTGAGGGGTCTAAAACAAAGAAAACAAATCATTTAAAGTTTATTACAGGCATCCATATAGCACCAACAATGTATGCAGCACTTTACATAATGTACATTCATATCACGGAGCTTGCACATCTAACTCATACTACACAGGAACCAATTAACTCAGTATGTCTTTGGAGTGAGGGAGGAAACCAGAGTACCTAAAAAAGGGAAATCTACGCAAGCACAGGGAGCAAACTCAATGCAGATAGTGTCCTAGCTGGGATTCAAACCAATGATCCCAGTGCGGCAAGGCCAAAGTACTTACCACTAAGCCACTGTGCTGCCCAGTTAAATGCAAATTATCTGTAAGAACTACAAAACAGTTTAAAGTTTTAACTCCCTTTTACTAGGACAGCATAAAGTGGTGTATTAAACTAAGCAATGTTGTTTGTTTGAATATACTGTAGAGTAGACCTAGTATAAAAATTTTAAAACAGAGATAACATGATTTTATGATAATACAAAAAGAAAGTAAAAACTGATCATATATTTGAAATGTTTACCATTATAGATTCAAGACCTACGAATGAAGGTTCTGGATCTGCGTGGCAAGTTTAAGAGACCACCACTTCGTAGAGTCCGGGTGTCAGCTGATGCCATGCTCCGTGCTCTCCTGGGCTCAAAACATAAAGTCTCCATGGATTTGCGTGCCAACCTGAAATCTGTGAAGAAAGAGGATACTGAAAAGGTACTCAATTGCTTTTTGGCTTTACAAATTCCATTGCCTAGATCTCCTAGGAATTTTATTAGACATGTAAGCGAAAAAAAAAATTTGCTTTGGTTGGTTTGTTTGTTATTTCGTTTTTTTGGGATGAATTAAACAATAATTACAAACGATCATTCCCTGCAGAAAAGTTACAATAAATGTTTACTTTTTTTCTTAACTTTTGACATTCCACAAAAACAAAATAAACAGTGTACGCCTGCGGTGCCCCGATTCATGCCAGACCCTTTAGGGTACCCTTCTGGTAGGAATTTTAGGGGGGAAACCAAGCTGACCACCTAAGAGCCCCACTAGCCACCTGAGAGCCCGCCCGCACTGGCCACCTGAGAGCCCCCACTGGCCACCTGAGCGGAAAACAAGCAATGATTCTGCATTATGGCACGTTGTATAATTATTTCAAAACTGAATCCTGAAACCAATCCCCAACACCCCCCATCCCTGGTGCCAAAAAGGTTGGGGACTGCTGCTGTATGTATACAGGACTACAAAACCCAGCAATACATACAGCAATGCCAAATACCATCAGCTATAAAGTACAGCAATACATTAAAACAGAACAGCAATTTAAATTAGATTATTTAAAAATTTACAAAATGCAACACATGGCATTGGGTGCTTTTCTTATTTTATGTATAGCCTGGGCACTCTTTTCTAACTCTCCAGACAGACTCCATCTAGCTCCTTACCTGTTGGGCGCAGGGGTGGATTAATAGCATCATGGGCCACGTTCTGAGGATTTTGGTGGGCCTTTTTTTTTCTAATTTAAGATATTTTTATTAAAGGTTTATAAACATACAATATATCCAATGTCATGAACAATAAGGCGATATAGAGAGCATCAAATAAACTGGCTATGGACATATATTGAAAGCCAATCAAAAGGCACAAATGTACATAAAACAAGAGTACCAGTGATCAATTATAAAGAAAGGGGAGATAAAATGAAAACTCATAATACGGGAATACTATAGACCAAAAAGAGAGAGTAGGAATAAGAAATTATGAGAAAGTAAAGAGGGGAAAAGAGAGGAGAGAATACAATAGACTCACGCCATCCAAGGGCTCAACTCAAAACCTATGGGATCCGAAGATCACCAGCAATTAAAGCTTAACCATACTAGTGTCAAAGAAATGTGTCTGCAGAAGTGGCTACCACGGTTGCCAAATGCACTCAACATTGAATATTTTGTCTGCTAGGTGGGCAGAGATTATTTAATTTATAATTTCATTAAATAGGGCTTCCTGTGGATTCATCTGTAGAGTGGTACCCATGAGGTTAGACAGAAAATCATATACTTGTGACCAAAATGTGCGAACTACAGAGCATTGCCACCAAACATGAAAAAAAGGAAAGCAGCATCATCGGGAAACCCTCGCGACCGTGCAGCTTCCATAAGAAGGCAGGCTCTATGAATGTTATTGCCTGCCTGTCAACGAGGCATGAAGCCAACCTGGTCCCTATGTATTAATGAGTTTATGCCAGTATTAAGCCTATTAGCAATTTAACGTCAACTTTAGGAAAGGAAATAGGCCTAAAATGTGTGCAATTTGTGTCGTCAGTACCAAGTTTGGGCAGCATGCAGATCATGGCAGATAGGGACTCCAAATGCAGTTGAGCACCAGTTCTAAGGGAATCAAGTATGTTCAATAAAAGAGAGGCCAAGAGATCTGCATATTTTTTATAACAAAGGGGAGTGAAACCAACTGGACCTGTTCTCTTATTCATGTTGAGGGTCTTAATAGCTCGTAAAAGTTCAGGCAAGGTTATGGGTTCTTCCAAAAATTCCCAAAAAGATTGAGACATGGACAGTTATGATGGGGAAGATAGCATGGTAGAAAGGTCCAGGAAATGGAAGGGCGGGGGTGTAGTAACGGAGGAAGAGTATAAAGAGGACAGGTGCTGTTCAAAAATGGAAACAATCTTTGAGGGATCATTAGTTAAAAGGTACCCATCTGAGAACGCAGGCGCAGAGGTTTGTGGAAAAGATCAAAAGGGTCTCAGGCGGCGAGCTAGGAGTGAGTCCTGCTTATTACCTTTTAGATAGAAACTATGCTTGCGATAATTTAAACTTTATCAACAGAGCTAGACAGTAATAGAATTAATTTTCGTGACTGACCGTGTCCAAGTGCTGTTGAGTTAACACCGTAGGCATTGAGTGGAATGCAGTAGTGGCTCTCTGGAACTCAATCTCCTGGTCACGAAAGCGTTGCGTACGATCGCGTTTAAGAGATGAGGCAATTTAAATACAATAACCCCTTATCACAGCCATGTGTGTCTCCCTTAGAGTCAGAGGGGTGACATCAGGAGCTGAATTAAGAGACATATACGTAGATATGGCATCATGAATGGCAATACGAAAGGATTTGTTGTAAAGTAAGAGGTCATTTAATTGCCATGTTCTATCCGATTTAGTAGCCCATAAAGAAGAGAAGGTTACTGTCACCCCACAATGATCAGTCTACGAGTATATCAGCACCTGTGATTCAGGGCCGGAATTAGAAGTTAAAGATGATGTCTCTGTCCTGGGAACATTGTGGTCTGTGTCTCTGAGAAATTCAGCTTCTCTATTTGTCCTAGTGATTATTATTAACAAGATAGAAATTGAACAACACTGAACGGTTGGTTAGGTAGAATTCTTCCCAACAGAATACAGACAGCAAAGAAAAAACTGACAGTGGTTTTAAGACTTTCCTACTTTAAAAGAGAACTATGGTTTCACCTTTTTTTTGCCATAGTTCTCTTTAGGGTCACAGGAGGACATTTACTGTGTCCTCCTGTGACCCAAAACTCAGCATATAGTGGGCTATTGCCTGCTATATGCTGACAGCGGCTGGGAAAAATCCTGATGATATTGTCGGGATCCACCCCACACCTAATTGACAGCTGGGCCTGCCCCCTCCCCCGTCCGTTCCCCCAGTCAGCGCTGGAGGAACAGAGAGGAGAGGGGAATCTCAGTCACTGCTGTCTGCAGGGAGAAGATCGGGAACTGAGAGATCGGTATGTAGTCGCTCAGTTCTCAATCATTAGAGCCCACGTGTGACAGCTGCAGTGTCACACATCGGTTCTAATTATGGGGATGAGTGTATTTCGCTCTCCCCATAATTCTCATTTAAAAGATGTGGGCTATACACACATTCTGTGCTGCACATTTGGTAATTTAAATACAAATCCATATAAGTTATTCTTCAAAAATAAGTTAGATACAAAAAAAAAGCTTAACACCAATTTTTCAAAAAATGAAAATTCCACAAAGAAAACCCTTTTAATGACAGGGTCTTCTCTGGTTGGATCTTCTCTTCTCTCCTGTCTTTCTTCTCTCTATTTAAACCCAAAAGGAAAAAGTAGATATTGCAGATTAACATTCCTTCGATATGGTAGCGACATTCATTTTCTTTGTTTAGGCTTTTTTTTCTTTATTCTCACCTGGTAATCCCTTAAATAATCAAATCCCTGTCCTTTTTTCACTGTAAATGTTGAGACAGCCATGATTCTCACAGACTGGACTTCAAGCATAGAAAACAAAAGGGAACAGAGCGCCACCTCCGTGTGTAAAATCGTTTATTAAATTAAATAAAACAAGGGATATCTGTACTCACAAGCAAACGTTTTCATCACGCTTTAACAACAAACAAGAGGCCACACTGTCTGTTAACCCAACACGGTATCGCCCCGACTATGTACCACAGTTGCTTCCGGTCACATCACTATCCACCGGCTGCAGCCAGCCAAGATTGACACGTTTCAGGGGCAAGCACCCTTTATCAGAATCATGATGACCGGAGGCAACCGTGGTACATAGTCGGGGCGATACGATGTTGGGTTAACAGACAGTGTGACCTCTTGTTTGTTGTTAAAAGCGTGATGAAAACGTTTGCTTGTGAGTACATATATCTCTTGTTTTATTTATTTTAATTAACGATTTTACACACGGAGGTGGCGCTCTGTTCCCTTTTGTTTTCTATGTTCGTGGTGGAAGCCCCAGAGCCTTGGGTGAGCAGCCCCTCAAGTCTGTGTGAAAAACTGTGATAAACTGTTGAACATTTTGATTATGCAACAGCAAGTGGATCGTTAAGCTGGCAGCCATTAGCGCCAAGAGTTAAAGAAAACTGTTGGTTTGGACTTCAAGCATGCCTGGCTAATATTTCTGGCAATATGAACAGGTATTCTGTACTTGCTGAAAATGTTCTTGGCCTAAGCACTGGTAAACGGCAATATACAATATGTTTTTAAAATTATTTTTGTGGTTCACATACCCCTTTCAAGACGATAGGAGGGGGGGGGCATTAGTTGTCTACTGTTCTTGCTCCAATGTAATTACCGGTATTTAAGAAAAAGCTGTCCATGAACAAAGTCTTTGGTTTTCTTTCTTGTAAGCCATACAATGCTTAATAATTCCTCACTGGATTGAAGGTGAGAGCTGCATTTAATGAGTGTAAACAACTACTGTATGTTCTCATCTCTGCAGGAGCGTCCTGTAGAAGTCAGTGACTGGCGTAAGAATGTAGAGGCCATGTCAGGCATGGAGGGCAGAAAGAAAATGTTTGATGCAGCAAAATCCCCAACAGCACAATAAGAGGTATACATTGCAAATGTTTGTAACATTATCTGCTTGTAGTGGTATATTAAATAGGAATATTTCAAAAACAAATGCATGCATTCAGCGAAGGTTGAACGAATACACTCTGGTATTCTAAATTTATGTATACACTTTTCCTATTTATATGTCTTAGCGAATTTACATGTGCTTTACACAAACTTTATCTTTAGAGATGCATATCTATAATTAATTAGCTTATGGTCTAAAAATTATCACAAATATTATCACAACATGCATGCATACTCAATATAGGGCTAAAAGTAATGGGAATCATTCAATATCTGAAGTGATGACGTTTTGGAAGCGGTAGTGTTAATATTCTAGATGAAAAACATTTGAGGAACAAAATAAGTACAGCACACATATGCAAAAAACAAGTCCTAGCAACACAGGGTTGCAGAACATGCGACCCATTCATTTCTGTCCATGCAAACCTGGCATAAGGGCCCATTCACTCTATACATTTTGTTAATGTATGTGCACAAGTGCAATGCGGTACCATTCATTAAAGGAGAATTATGGGGAGAGTTAAATACACTCATCCCAATAGTTAGAGCCGACGGGTGACACTGCAGCTGTCACACATCGGCTCTTTTGTTCACAAACTGATCGATCACATACCGCTGATCGCTCAGTTCACAATCTTCTCCCTGCAGAGAGCAGTGACTGTCAGTCACCAATCCCCGCAGGGATTTCCCCCTCCCCTCTCTGTTCCACCAGCGCTGACTGGAGGGACAGATTGGGGAGGAGGCGGGCACAGCTGGTTTAGCTTCTAGAGTGGCAGAGCCAGCTGTCAACCAATTAGAGATATGGATCCTGACAATATTGTCGAGATCTGTCATGGCTTCAGTGCCCCTCTGCGCTGTCAGCATGTAGTGAGCAATAGCCTGCTATATGCTGAGTTTTCGGTCACATGAGGACATTAGTAAAGGTCCTGCTGTGACCCTAAAGAGAAATACGGCCAAAAAAAGGTTTAGCCATAGTTCTTTTTTAAGGCACGTTGTGTTAAAGCAGCCCATTTTGAAAATCACACTGAAATTTGGACAGGACTTTAATGTACCACAACACATGCCATGTGAGTAGTGGTGCTCTGTCTGCAGTGAGGGTGCTTTGTCTGAAACACATTGCATAATGGTACACATGAGTTACATTGCATTGTGGTAAGAAGTGGAAAAAACACACATTTTACCATGTGTTGATGCTATGCATAAAATGTAGTTTAACATTTTACACAGATTATTTTTCTCTGGGTGTGCTGCGATGTAATATACTAATTATAGCACATTTAAAAAAAAAAAAAAGGTATGGTACAACTCTCTGGACATACTGTATCTGTGAGTGCAATTGAGGCACCCCTATATTTATTAATTTGATCACTATTGAAGTAACATCTACAGGTATATAAGGAAAAGAACCAGGTGCTTCAACCCACAGCAACCAAAACAGAAATCATTTTCAATCCTCAAAGATAACTTAACTTAAACCTATTTGGTTCCTATGTGTATCTGCACGTTTCACATCGTTATTCATTTTGCAATTTATTGTAAAACTGTACCCAATTTTCAAAATAAGGCTGCGATCATGCCTATATCCATATTTCAAAAACAGACCTCTATAGTGGTAAAACCCATTTGAAATCACAGAGAGTAAAAAAAAAAAAAAATGGTTACTTATTAGGAAAGCCATTTAACCAAAACATTGCTTTTGCTCATATCCTATATACTGTCCAACTATCAAAAATTTTACAGAAAAACAGAAAAAGAATAAAGTCATAAAACACCTATGGGTACCTCAAAGAGGACCTGTGAGGATGGAAATATGCAACCTGCCATTGCCGATTGTTTTGAATGGTTTACTCTCAGGCAAGTCACTGAGCTGCAAACTAAAAAAGCCTAGTTTGTTTTCTTAAGCAAACAGGCCCATAGTGGAAATGTAAAAATGGCTCTGGTCCATAAGGGGGATTCAGGTCTCCTGTAAGCTCCCAATACTGTATCACTGGGAGAGGGAGTGGCAGCAATAGAAGCCAATAAAGTTCTGCACAGTTATATCCAGCTAACACAGACAGGACCTTCATCATCCTATCACCAGGCTGGGATGCTTCCTTGGCCAGCCTATACTTCTAAACTGCAGTGTAGTTAGAAAAAAAAGGTTTCCTGCCAGTCCAGAAACTGAGTCTGCTTTCTGGCAGGGGTGTCTGGATCTCAAGACTGAATAGAAATCCTTTTGCAGATATAACAGGGCAAATATTTATTTAAATGGTGTATTTGGCTTCTGGAAAACTGTTTTAAAGAGTTACTTTGGTCAAACAGAAAATATTGTTAGAAAGTGAGGCGTGCCAGTCTTTTTATGTCCTACTTTATTATAGTTCTAGATGATGCAGTACAATAAAGGGTAGAAAACTAGAATGGAATATATGTCCCATCAAAAACTATGACATCAACAAACTGATTGCCATGTCTGATCTCTTCTGTATTTTTTCAGGATCAGCTGAAAATCTACTTGAACTCTCGTCACTTTGCTGCTGTACTTGCAATGATATTTTCCAGATTTTGTCCTGCAGCTGAAGTTGCTGTGCCAGTTTCACATCGCTTTGATCTAGAAAACACCTCAATAAATTTATATTGGTGTCTGTCACATTGTCTAATATGTTGCATTTATAAAACTAAGCAAATAATATATTTTAATAATGAGGCGTTCTGAATATTTCTGGTCTCATTGGTAGTATGCCCATGTACTTCGATGTATATCTACAAGAAAAAAATCTATAAGAATGTGTTTGTTTTAATTAGATTTTAATACAAAGCCCTAGGGCACTGTGTGTTTTTAAAGCCTACTATGCATACATTAAATAGTTTTTGTAAAGTTTTTGTATAGCAAAAACATCAGGTAAAAATATGAAACATCAGCAAGCATATACAGTACTGAACAGGACCAGGGGATTAAAAATTCTATTATGCATAACCTACTCTTAATCCGTTGAGAGTCACTATTGATCGTGGAGATACAGGAGTGAAACTTAAAAACATTCCCTCCATGGGCCCAGTGTTCCCCCCACATGGAGCAATGCACAATTATGCCATACTGTGTGGCATCAACATGCACACTAACATGCTTGAAATATCAACAGCTAGAATAGGCTATGTCTGTTTGCTGTCCTATTTATTCATTACTATTAAGCAGCTAGCTGTTACTCAAAGTACCCGAAACATAATACAAGCAAGCAAAGAGAGCTTTTCCCCACGTTTAACTATTAATTCAAATTCACAACAACATATAGCAGATGTACATAAGATGAGCCTTGATTTCTAAATTGTGTTCCAAAAAAAAACACAAACGACACTCCTAACCAAACAGCAGCAAATTTGTATTTTTTCTTGATATGCATTGTATGCATTGGTTATATAGCTTATCTGAGTCGAGAGCAACACTACAAATAATTGTATTACTAAACAAGTTACACAAATGCTGTACTCAAAAGATTTTATACTATTTGTACTGTAAAATCCTGTTCATCGGTAGTTCTTTTGGGGACAGTCATTCTTCTATTGGTAGGTATAGCTGCCTCTGGGAGGTTGGACACTAGTCAGAAATAAGAGAACATCCATCAAGTGACTATAGCCCTGCATATACAGCATACGCTCAGAAATAGCTTCCTGATAAAACATTTTAAATGTAAAAAAAGCAATAAAAAAAAAAAAAATTGTAACCACTTGAGGGACGGGATCTCCAACTACTTGAGGAAAGGATTTTACAGCAAGCACAAAAAAAAAATCTATTTTACTCCCAGCGTTCATTGTCACTGAATCTTCTACTGGTCGGAGGTTCAAAATCAGTTCCAAGAGGGTTGGGCCAAACAAAAGTGCCACAACATCCCTCAATGTTTATGGGGTGACTAACTCACACTGCCTCCTGTAGAACCTTTAAAAGCTAGCAGAGTGAGTTAACTCCAACCCGTATCAAACTTGAGGGTGTACACAGCACAAGCAAATGTAAACTAGGCTTTGGGGGTCTGCCAGTGTCAGTGACTGCTTCCTGGTGTTAGACATATTGATAAAATTAGGGAAAGGTCTGAGAAAAGGCTGTAGATGGTATCTCATCTCTTTGCCATGGGAAGCCACTAGGTTCCCAGGCTGTTTAATCATCAACTTAGTCTTCTGCAAATGGAAAAGACTGTCAGTGATGGTGTCTGGCTGGTTTTTCCCCAGAGGCTATCTGAAGCAGAAGTAGTCAGAGTGGTGAAGGAATCCATGTGCAGAGTCCAACACTGCCATTGTACAGTGTGCCAGGAGCCAGCCCTGCCTAGTTCCTATAAGTGTGCAGCTGGAAATGGTGCCCTCTGAAGACTGCATTCATGAAAGTGCCTAATGCATGGAATACTACCAGCCCACAGTAAATTAAAATACATTTAAATAAGAGAGCTTCAGACAGAGTGAAGAAAAAGAAGTTAAGGTTTTTTTAAAACAACATTTTAGCTACCTTCAGTTATCAGAGTTGTTAAAGCATACAAATAACAAGCAGGAAAACCCCTGAATGTCTTTTCTGTACCTATCACTTTCAGTTTTACCCACGACCCGATAACTCCCTGAATCTCCTCAAGCAAAGGTCCTTAAAATAGGCCGTGCCTAACCTTTTTCATATATTCGTGGCAGTTGTCTTGTCTCCACCCTGATGCAGTAAAAGTGAGAATTAAGAACATAAAGGTATGGCAGCTAGCATTTCGAGTGAGCACATGCCTGTTTGTGAGTCCCCAGCAAATGTTGTTAAAAATTGCAACAAAAAGATAGGGATAACTGTTGAAGTATACAGGGCACAGCAGTTGTAATGTTATCAGGATAATATACAGTGACAGTGGAAACAATTGTCAGTAGCAGACCTGCCAACCTTCCTGGATTTCACATCTTGCCAATGACCACTAATGCTTTTGAGGTAGGGGGATCATAGTTCCACTGACCACTAATGATTTGGAGGAGGGGAATATTCTTTTAGGATCCACTCACCAACAGCTTGAGCTTGGGGAATGAGGATGGGGGGGTGGGGAGGATTTTATTGCTACTGACCACCAAAGATTCCAGGGATATTTTTATATTTTTTGCTGCTAGCATATTACATAGTGCTGACTGCTGCATTCTAAATGCTGGACCATCTGGGCCACTAAAAACTTTCCCTTCTGTTTACTGAAAGACCCAGTGGAGATCTTAAGATCCTTTTACAATTGTGTTATAGTACCACCCTCAGGAGCAGGACACTAGGCACAAAAAACACAAGCACAGCTTAGGGGTGGCCCCTGCTGGAGGCCAAACCCCCCCCCC